TCCAGGTATGGGGTGAGAGACTGGTTCTATGTCCACTTGAGACCTCATGAACAGAGCTTCTCAAAGAGGGCAAGGCAAGCACAAGCCTGTCAAGTCAGTGTGACCTGAGCGACTGTCCAAATTGTGTTCCCTGCACCTTGTTACTTCTCCTGGTGTTCGCATTAGTGACAGTGTATGCAAAATGGTGCAGGACAGTGTATTCTATGGGTTGGTAATACTACATTTTATTTTCAACTCAAATGTTTACTTCACTGTTTCAGAAGTAGTTGGAATTAACTGAAATGATAATATGAAAAAAAATTTTATAAAGCACAGGGTGGAAAAGCAGTGTAAATCTATCACTTGAATGTGTTGTGTTTTGGAAGTGTGGTTTTTCTATCTCAAGCAAAACAGCTAATGTAACTGAGAAGCATGAAAATACATGAAAAACAAAATAGCATAGTGAGCTCTGATCTCTTGGAGCTAGGAAGAATCATTGCACCCTCACTGAAATGAACCAAGTGAACTTACCATGATAACCATGTTAAGTCTGGTTATCATGATAGTTCTGCCCAGAGGTTGCTTGTCCTGATAACTTAAATCTTCATGGGTGTAGGGTCAGGAATGGACCACAGTGCAGGTTTTCTGATCCCATGCAGACCAGGTAAAGGAGGAGTCAGAGTCCTCAGTGGTTTTGCAGGTTTTTATTGGGGTTCAGCGGGTATGTGGCAGGCAGGGGTGCTGGGAGGCTGGCAGTCCTCCCAGCCCCCAGCAAATCTTCACTCTATCTGTGCTCTCTGGCGTTCTCTGCTTCGGCTTCTGCTACTGGCTCTCCATGACGCCGCCCTTAAAAGCACAGTCTTAGCCCAGGTGTACCCACTCCAGGTGCCTGCCATCAGGCATGCATTCAGGATCACAGGGTTCCCTCATCTATCCTGATGGCGGGAGGGCAGAAAAGCCTGATATTTTTCCTTACCCTACAATGGGAGTCAGAAACTGCTGCCAACTTACGGTACCCAGGAGTTCAGTTGCGTTCTCAGCTTCACTTCCCTTTGGATTGCTGACTTGCCAAAACCATGTAAAAGTTAATTTTGTTTTTCACACAGATGAAATAATCATTACAATTTCTGAATTAAGAGAGAGTCTCAGAGAGAGTGTGTGTGTATGTGACTGTCTTGAGAACTACCAAACTAGTTATTTATATGAGTTTCTGTGTTATTAGATAACACCTTACCAGCATTTAAATAACTTGATTTATAATTGGAATCCTCATTAGTCCTATGAAATTAAATTATTGGGTCGTGAAGGAATGATTATTTCAAAAACCTGTTATTTGTGTTTGACTATTGGGAAAGGAAAGAGATAAAAACAGACAACATTTTAATTACATGTAATTTCAACTAATTCAATAAAGATTATAGGCTCATAGCAAAGAATTTTTAAGTTACAAATTATATAATTTTTACTTTTTAAAAATTTATTTATGCATACAAGAACTGGGGTGTAGGCCAGAGGTGCAGGGGGTGAGAAGATTCACCAGAGACAGAGTGGAGAAATAGAATGGGTGAATCTACTGAAAAACACTGCTGAAGGGAGCAGCAGATGAGGCAGGATGAGGCAGGAGAGGTCTGCTGCTCCATGTGGGTTAGCTCCCTGGTCAGGGATTGAACTCATGCCACAGTGGCTGGTGATAACTTGATAAGAGCTGATACTTAACCCCTGCCCCACCAGGGAGGCTCCTATATAGAATTTTTTTTTAAAGATTTATTTATTTATGCATACAAGAGCTGGGGTACAGGCCAGAGAAGGGGGGGGTGTGAAAGGATTCACTAGAGACAGTGGGGAACAGAACAGGCAGATTGACCGAAGTACACTGCTGAGGGGAGCAGTTGGCGAGTCAGGAGAGGTCTGCTGCGCCATATGGGTTGCTCCCTGGCCAGCCGGGGATTGAACTCATGCTGCAGAGGCTTCGGATTGCTTCATAGTGAGGTGCTTAACCCCTTGCGCCACCAGGGAGACCCTATATATAATTTTTAAATGCATGTAGCAAGTCTATAAATATACATTTTTAGTTGCATTGTGGATACTGTGTAAGAAGGCAAGAGCAGGAGCCTATAAATAAATTATAGACTTTTAATAAATTGAATGCATATTTGCATTGTTCTCAATTAAGAATTATAAATTCATATACATCGGTAAGCCTACCATTTAGATCATTAGATAAATGAACATATTGAAGAAAAATACTTAGAAACGTTGATACTGTCAGACCCACTATGAGTGATGTAAGAGATGTATATAACAATAAGGCCTAATATGATCGTAAAATTACAGTGTCTGTACAAGGCTCTTGCTCTGCACCTGGTGCTGGGCCTGAGGCAAGCAGAGCCCACAGTCAGGAAAGTGGAGCAGAGCAAGAACAACCTGGAATTCCAAGAATGAGTGACAGCTCTTGAGAAGAAACTGTCACACATACCTATCTCCTGCCACCTCCAAGTCTGCAACTTCAATGATACGGTGACCCTCAGAACCCGGGTGTAGGATAAGGAAAAATGTCAGGCTTTTTTGTCCTCCCGCCATCAGGATAGATGATGGATCCTTGCGGTCCTGAATGCATGCCTGATGGCGGGCACCTGGAATAGGGTGTGGGCCTAGATAGAGGGGATTCACCTGGCCTAAGACTGGGCTTTTAAGGGCGGCATCACGGGGACGCTAGCAGAAGCCGAAAGAGAAGCCGAGAGAGAAGCAAGGAAGCAGAAGCTGAGAAAAGGCCGGAGAGCCCAGAGTGAAGACCTGCTGGGGACTGGGAGGCCTGCCAGCCTGCCCCCCAGCACTCCTACCTGCCATGTACCGGGTAAATCCCAATAAAAAGACCTGCAAAAAGCCACTAAGGACTCTGACTCCTCCTTTACCAGGTCTGCATAGGATCCTAGAAAACCTGCTCTGTGTCCATTCCTGCCCCTACACCGGGCATGTCACCATGGAGCAGCACATAGACTTGACCCAAATTATGGGGCGTGAAAGAGTTTGGGGATCAGCTACAGCTCAAGGAGATGTGGCAGGGGCTGGAAAAACTAAACTCAATGCTGCCCCAGACCGATAAGCGGATCCAACTGATCCACAACACTTGTCTGTAGGCTGCAGTCCTGCCTGACCTTACACAACTTCTCAAGCATATAGATGCCTGCGGCTTCATTTCTAGCTCCCAAACCTCACCCCAGGATCCTTGCCTATTCCTGACCTACAACTAGGCAGTAAAGGGTCTTGTGGACAACATAGTTCCAAATTAGCTAACTTGACGCAACACAAAACTATTATAGTTCACCCTTGTGGGCTTAAATGAAATGAATCCAATAACTAATCTGAAATTGGGGCCTCCCTGGTAGTGCACGGAGTTAAGACGCAATGTATGAAGCTATCCGCAGCCACTGCAGCAAGAGTTCGATCCCCGGCCGGGGAGCTACTCACATGGCTCAGCAGACCTCTCCTGGCTCACCCGCTGCTCCCCTCAGCATTGTATTTCAGTCAGTCTGCCTGTCCTGTTCCCCACTCTGTCTCTGGTGAATCCTCTCAAACACCCCTCCCCGCACCTCTGGCCTGTACCCCAATTCTTGTATGCATAAATAAATAAATATTTATAAATAAATAAATAAATAACCTGAAATGACCAAGGGAAGGACAAAAGTAATTTTATTAGACAATAATAAATGTTATTAAATAAACGTTACTTACCAGATGCCTTAAACTCTAAGGATAAATTCTAAATTTCTCAAGTAGTTCAGGATAATTTTTTGTATTTCATTCTAACATTTATTTAATAGATGTGCTTAGTAACATTCACTAAATAGCATTTACTTAATAATACTTGATGACTTGAAAGTATAGTAGAATGTTACTTATTTCTAGGCTTGCTTTTTAGGACCAGTATTTTTTCCCTAACATTTGGGGATATCTACTGAGTACAATTTGCAGTACAAAGACCTTTGGTTTTATATAGACATGAATAAGAAATTACCCCTATCGTTTTGATTTATTCAAACCAAGTATTTCCAAAATCTGTTAAATGTATTTTTCTTGAAAAATATCTTCATGGTGAAGTAAGTTTGGGGAGCACTGGCTAAGTAATGTTCATTTGATTTCTCAAGCCTTTATTACACAATAGATTTGACCTTGGAATCATTCTTTAAGAGCAACTGTAGGGATTGTTAGGGAACGTAGTTGGGAAATACTGTCATAGACCTTTGGTTGAACTCTTTATTTCATCTATTGATTTGCTTCATGTCAAAAGTATTCTCAAATGATAACCTATCAGCACATTCTTGAGCACGCTTCTCTACCAAAGAGAGGTTACAAGTCAGAGAGATCGCTAACAGATTTAAGAACATGCTTTGCATTTGGCAAGTCCTTAGAACATGAGTTTTGGTGTTCTTCTGTACCTTGTCCTGTAATAAACAGGAAGCAGTACTTCATTGTTAGGGTGGTCCTACCAATCTATCCAACAGGAAGGGTTTGAGAGGGCAAAGAGTTGCTGTTTATGATACTGGGAGCTCAGGTATAAAGGAGAATTATCCCAGACAGAGAGGGATGTTATCCTCATCCCAGCACATAAGCTCAACAGTTGTGTGCAGTTTCATTTGGACTCTTAATTACTTTAGCCCTGTTCTTGACATCAGTAGCCCATTTCCCAGGGTTGATTGATTTTTGGTTGATTCACAGGCTTTAGGATCAAGAAAAGGTTCTGAAATCGTTTACTAATGCTTTAAACCTGAAACAGTGACTTTGAAGAATACAATTGTATACCTAATGGTAGTTTTCAAAATGGGTAAAAATGGAACTGTGCATATTCTTGACAGCTAAATGCATATAAGTTTTAACATGTGTCTCTCCCAGAGAATTTTTCTTCAAAGAATCCCAAAAGTATTAGTTTATATTATCAAAATCAGTTTATTGTAGAACTAAAGGAGAGAAGAATTTGGATTACCTATTTAATGTTTTCTCTTTTTCCTTTAATCTTTTTACAGTTTTTTGAGGTGCCATTTGATTCAAACATGAATAGGACAAAGAACAGACCTCTGGTTCGTGGACAGATCAGGTAAAATCATAAACATGTCTCTCCCACCTTATAGAATATTCATTTGTTTGTTCATCCTGAGTCATTTCCCCGTCTTGCCCCTTGAATCTTGAAGTAAGACTAACAACACACTCTCAAAGGAACATATTGCTGTGGATTTTTCAACTCCAGCCACAATGTTCTATAGAGCATTTAAAATGGATGTAAGATTTGCAGTTTTGTTGTGGGAGTAACTTGTGATAGATTTTTTTATTAAATTCAATTTTGAGACAGGGACTTGTTTCACTTGTAGTGACTAAAGATAAAATCATTCCATTAACACAAATGATTTCAGACAAATCCATATAGAGTCTCAGAAGAAAGATATGTCTGAAGCCTTATTTTTTTCAGATAAACTGATACTGCTGTTATATGCCGAGTGAAGAACCGCCTCCATTACTCTCCTTCTCTCTAAATCCAATTAAGTAGAACTAAAAGGCATATAAATATTTTAATATCACTAATGGTTAATAATTAAACATTTCACTTCCTGCAGTCTTCAAAACCAGCATTTTAAAATATATATATTTTTAATCAATAGATAGCACAAGGCGAGAAGAATAAATAAGCGCCAACTAGTTTATAGAGACTATTCTAAATCAGTGAATCCTTTCTTCTTATTTCCAGGCAGTGCCCACATGCAGCTTAAAATTCATTCGGGTATCACTTGTGGATCAAATAAACACATATTTTAAGTAAACCAATAAAAGAAACCAAAGGAGATACAGTAATATAAGTCTGTATAAAAATGATTAGCTGGTTTTCGCCATTCAGTTCTTAAAATGAATTTAAAATATTGAGAAGGGTAATAGAACCAGATGAAAACATATAGGAAAAGAAATTTCATGTCTACTGATTTGAGTTTCTTTTTTTGAAATTTAAATAAAGGTACAGAAAGTGTCAAGAGTACTTTTATTTGAGGAAAGTTGCTTTGGAAGGGTGATGCAAACTTGAACTCGTCTTAAAAGCTAAATGTTGCTCTTGCCACTGGTCATAACACGGGTATGTTCTTACTTCTCTGGAAATTCTGTCCAATTGTATTCCCTCAGTGAAATCATACTGTTCTTTGGAATTGGGGGAAGTGCAGGGACAGGCCCAGCAAGCTTCCATTAGGCATATAACTTGACAAAGGCCCATGGTTCTGCTGTAGTGCATTTTACTTTGCCCAGTGTGATCATTTCTTGCACTTGGGAAAGACAGGTTTGTCAGTATATCCAGGAGGGAGGAGCAGCATAGCTTTGGTGGTTGATGTTGGCAGTGCCCTTCTTTTAAAAGGAGAGCAGCTGCAGTACAAATATTAGTCTTGTTAAGCTCATGACTTTGTCTTTTACTTGGAAGATAATTCAGGTAGAATCACATTCATGAGAATAAACATTAGTTATCAGTTTAGAGGGCAGATTGTAGACTCACATTTTCATATCAATAGTTAGGATGTATTTTATTAAATAAGTTCAAGTAGCTGTTGTAACCAGTGTTGAAATCTTGCTTTGGTAAGCATAGATATAAACCTAAAAGACTTTATATAGTGCCAGTTAGTATTTTATATAATAAATTATTATCTATTGCAGAGATATTTTATAAGACCATAGGGTGGTAGTAGAAAGTCTTACAAACTCTCCATTAATGTGAATTTCTCATGCTTTTAACAGGGATTGGACATTTAAGTACAAAACATAGCCAGTTTATTTTGAAATTCTCATTTGATTTGTGCTGAGATGATTTGGTGAATCTCTAAAACTTCATAGACTTAGTGCACAAGTTGACATGTAAATTGTGAGTCTCTGTCACTGTTGAGAGACAGCGTTATAATAAATCTGGAAAAGAAATCCCTGAAATTTTTTGTTTTAGCCTTTGTACCTGCCTTGGTGTCTGTCCATTCTAAAGTTATACTATTAACATGTATGGGGAAAACATTGTATTTTTCAAGTAACTTCAGCCTGTTTTGAAGATTTTTTTTTTTTTAAATGAACGAAATCATATTCTAAGGAGTTAAAATAATGTGGTGACACTTAAGGGAAAAAAAAAATGTATGGGTAGGCTCTGATTTTTTGAGGACTGGGGAAGCACCCTTGAGGATCTGTGCTTGTGTGGCCCGTGGGTGCCATTGTTCTTATGCATGGCTGCCATTCTCTGAGCTGTCAGCCCTCTCTTCTAGGAAATTGGAGCAGCAAGGTCTGGTCACTGACCACCTTACAGAACTGATACAGAAGATAGAACTATTTTTGCTAATTTCATTTATCCTTCATTCCAGAAAGGAATAGAGGTGTCATTAAAATACCTTTAGTAAAATAGAGAAATTGATAACGAAAGTCAGGGTTATGGAAAACATGATTTGACAAGAAAGCTTATCAAATTCACATAGTTAATAAGGTTGAACTATAAATTTCATTGTTTTGCTTGGCGAAATCACAGTGACTTCATAATGATAAGCATCACATGTTACACTTATTTATTTATTTTTTATAATATTTAGTTATTTATTTATACAAGCACTGGGTACAGTCAGAAGCGCGGGAGGGTGAGAGAACTCACCAGAGCCATAGCAGGGAGCAGAGCAGGCAGAAGGACCGAAGTACACTGCTGAGGGGAGCAGCGGGCGGCAGGAGAGGTCTGCGCACCATGCGGGACCCTCCTCTGGTGGCCGGGGAGCAGCCGGGGACTGAACCGGCACCGCAGAGGCCGAAGGCAGCCTCGCAACCCAGCGCTCAACCGCTGCGCCACGGGGGAGGCCCACATGTTACACTTATTTAATTCTTCCTTATGTACCATGACGTTAATGTACGTGAATTCCCCTTAATACTCAGTTGAGGGAAATGAGGAGCCAAGTATTGTTTATAAGTAAGTGACAGAATCAAACTTTGGCCTATTTGACTCCACACCCTGAGTTGCTACAACTACACTAAAGAGACTTCAAAAAGTCTCTTTGTCTGTAAAAAGAAAACACTTTAGGAGACTAAATTTCTGCCTCTTCTTATAAAATAAGGGGACACTTGGTAATGCTGTTAATGGAATATTCTCAGCAATTTCTATGAATAGCATATTTCTAAGCTCAGTGTAAACCAATGACAAAATTGGTTTTGAGACAGTTCCCAGTGGAACCATTTAGAGGGGGTATCACTGTAGCAAGGTGGGGAAGAAGCTGCTCTTGGCCAGGAATTGAAGCTCAGAATGAATCTCTAGTCATTCAACTTGATCCGGAATTAAACTGAGGTGGTATAAAAATGGAGAAAGAAGGCACCAGTGCTTGGTGTGTCTTAGGTAATGGCTAGGGTGACAGAGATGACAGGGTAAATGCTCTGTCACATGGTCTGAGTGCCACGTGGGCAAAAGGTCTAATGCTTATATCTTTGGTAAATGCCTGTTGTTTTATCAGATTTATCGGGAGCATACCCTCTTATTCTCAACAATGTCCATTTGGGATGATAACTATATGGCATTCTATATAAAGAGAATAGTGGTGATAACTATGATGTTCACAGAATTTCCTTATTTTTAAAATTATTTCATATAAATTACATATACATATATAATTTTTTACTTTTTGCCTGGAAGATCTGGGGTGTAGGCCAGAAGTGCGGGGAGAGGGAGGCGAGAGGGTTCACCAGAGACACAGTAGGGAGCAGAACAGGCAGATTTTACTGAAATACACTGCTGAGGGGACCAGCAGGCAAGACAGGAGAGGTGTGCTGCACCATATGTGGGTAGCTCTCTGGCCAGGATTCGAACTCAAGCCATAGTGGTGATAGCGTTGAGATTTAACCCCTAGGCCACCAGGGAGGCCCACTATTTCATACAAATTCTAATTGCTTATACTGCCTAGAAGAGAAAAAAAGCACAAAGATGAAAAATATGGCAGATCTAAATCAGTCTGTGGATAGACATTATAAATAAAACAGACCTCTTTAAATCGCTTTTTAAAATGGGCACTCAAGCTCTTTGTTTTCTTATAAATTAGAAAAAGATAAATAAGGTTGATTGATTTGTTTGGACATTTCTGACATAAAATGTCATGGCTCCGAATGATTGTTTGAGGAAGGAGTTATGCTTAGAGTTCTCATTCCTTGGTAAGGAACACACCTTAGAATTTATATGTCTTATATCAGGTACTCACACTGAAGGGTGAGGAAATCCACTTAAGAGGTTGAATCTGCAAACTCAAAGCCATGTAGTGAAGGCAAATGTCAGAGAAGTTTACCTTCTTATTAGAAAGCCAGATTCAGCATAATCTAATTTTAGTTTGGTAACGGAAAAAAGTTAATTGGCAATTAAAAAGTACATAATAGAAAACTTCTCACGCTTAGATATTCTTCATATGTAATCATAGTCTACTGAGAAATGTTTCTAACCTACTCTAAGCCTGGGAAACTGATTGAGTTACTTTTTCCATCCTACTGCTTCTTCACATGTAAAATGGTATCATAATTCCTATTTGTTTATAACATTTTTGTGGAGATAACAATAAGATCAATAAAATTATGTAAAGAGAATTGTATTGGTGGGGAACAGGCCTAAAACTAAAGAAATGCAGAGTAGTTTGCAGAACTTTCTTCTGTTCTCAAAATTTGCCTTAAAAGATAAATATTTTAATTATTACCAGACAATAACATAAAAAAGAAATTGAGATTAATTTTAAGGAATGAAAACAAGCAAAACACATGGCAAATAAGAGAACTCAGAAAGTAAAAGTTGTATGTTTCCGTTATTATGCTTAAGTTTCCACGCAATGGAAAGTAGGGATTGCAAGTTATCGAATACTTCATTCATGTGTTGTCATCAGCACACCTTATATGGAGAATGTTGTCCCTGTGGAAAAGTGTGCTAGCTGCGGTTACTACAGAGAGGTAAATCACATGGTCTCCATTCTCTTACAATCATGTTGAGAAGACAACACACATATGTAACAGCCCAAAATCTAACAAAGATATTTTTTGAATGTGTCTACCAGCCAGGCACCTGCTACAGGAGTGGAAGGTGCAGAGGTG